GGCTCAGAGGAGAACCTACAGGAGCCTCAGGGATAATGACAATTTCTCTGTCACATCCCCAGCAGAACTCCCAGGTGTATGAGTAATGCTGTCACCTGAAGCATCTTTTTAAGCCTCCAGAGAGAGCTGCAGGAAATTACAGTGTATTGCAGGGAACTCTGATGCTGGGAGGGAAAGACAATCTTTGCCTCAGATTAAAAAATAAATAAATAGCAAGACAATTTTGAAGTTAGCTTGACTTAGCTTTCTTTCCACAGAAAATTTTAGACAGTTTCAAGGGAGTGCATCTGGGATCTGGTTGCCCCTCATGGCTGGTCCCTTTTACGGATGATGCCACATTGGGGTTGTTCTTTTCTCTCCACGGCTACACACCTGAGTTTGGTTGCCACCCACTGCCAGTCCCTGGAGTGGAGGAGTTGCACGTACATCCCTCTAAAAACCCACTCATCCTCAAGCTTCAAACCTCTTCTGTGGGAGAGAAAAGTCATTGGAATAAGAAGCATCAATGCCTCTGTTGGTGGAAACAAGATGTCTTATCTCACCGTAGATGCAGCACTAGTATGCACTACTTTTCTCAGTCCACAGGAAAGGGTGGAGAGAGTGGGAAAGATCAAGCTACAAAAAAGCTTTTGAGAACTTGTAAGAGAGTAGTAGAAATGCTGTCCCAAGGGAACAGCAGTTGACATAATGGCTATGTTGCTGGACTCCCATGTAGTTAACCACGGTTTGAGTCCTGGACTCAATGGCTTAAACTCACACCAAGTACATGTGAATGCATGCCCAAGATACTGAGGAGAATGGAGGAGGAGGGATTGTGGCGTGGCCATTCCCCCCCGCCCCGCCCGGGGGGCGGAGAGGTGATTTCACACTTTCTGTCTCTCTGTCTCTCTCTTTCTGGTGAGTGCATGCGCCCTGTAGCAAAAACCTCTCCAAAAAAAGAAATAAATGCTGCCCCAAAACAGGTCACCACCAACTTTCACCCTCAACAAACAGAGAAGGAAAGGAGAGGTAGATAGTCAGTGAAAAAAAAAGGGGGGGGGGACCAGCAGTTGGTATAATGGCTATGTCACTGGACTCCCATGTAATCGACGATGGTTCGAGTCCCAGACCTGGTGGCTTAAACTCATGCTGGGTGCGTGTGCATGCATGCCCAAGATCCTGAGAGGGGAATGGAGGAGAAGGGATTCCAGTGTGACTATCCACCATAGAGGGTGATTTCTTGCTTTCTGTCTCTGTCTCTCTCTGTCTTTCTGGCAAGCTCACACGCCCTATAGCAAAAACCTCTCCCAAAAAAAAGAAAAAAAAAGTACACATTGTGCTTACACTGTTTTATTGACATAACTCCTCATTTTGGTGGTAATGATGGTTGGCTTTCTTTGAGTGTTTGCCCTTTACCACCCACCATGCTAAACACTTAATGCAGAATATTTTACTCCAAAAAAAAAACTCTCCGTAGTGGATTCTGATATTATCTCCCTTGTACATGAGGACATTGAGACTTTGCTAGTTTAAGGAGCTTATCCAAGGGCCCACAGGTCCTAAGGAGCAGAGATTTAAAACTGGGTATATGGCCTAGCAGGTGGCGTAGTGGTTAAGGTGCTGAACTCCCACATGACTGACCACAGTTCGAATCCCAGACCCAGCAGCTTGAAATTCCTGCCAGGCACATGTGTGTGCATGCCCAAAATTCTGAGAGGAAAATGGAGAAGGGATTGCGGCATGGCCATCCCTTGGGGGGTGATTTCTCACTTTCTCTCTCTCTGGCAAGTGCACGTGCCCTAGAGCAAAAATCTCAAAAAGAGAGAGAGAGAGAGAGAATTAAAATTGGGTATGCTTCTTTCTCTTAGGAAATTTAACCCCTGATTACCATACTAACTACTCCTGTGAGTCTGCAATTTTAACATGAGTCCAAATCCCCCAGAGACCAAGTGAAAACTCGGCTCTTTTAACCCCATAGTTTCTGAATCAGCAGTGGCCTGGGAACTCCCATTTCTAACACATTTCCAGTTGATGTTGATGTTGCTGGTCCAGGAACCACACTCCAAGAACCTGTATTAGACTGCAGTCCAATTTCTATGGGGGCCAGCCAGTGGCACGGTCCCACATGGCTGACTGCGCAGTTCATGTTCCAGACATGGGAGCTCAAAAGTCATGCAGGTTATATGTGTATGTGCCCCAAATTCTGAGAGGATATGGAGCAGAAGGGACTGTGTATGGCTATGCCCCCTGGGGGGCCATTTCTCTCTCTCTCTCTCTCCAGCAAGCACACATTCCTCATAGCAAAAATGTGAAAGAAGAGAAAATGAGTGAGGTTGGAATTGACCTCGGACATTAAACCTATACACACAGGGCTGATAACTAAGGTGTTTCTAGAGCACTCTTTGGAGAGGATGGTATCATGAGACAGAGGTAATTGACCTGTCGAAAGTTTTATTCTGGTATTCCCTTGGTTGCCTGACACTTCCGAGAACACGGTCACATTGCACCGTTAAAAAAAAAAAAAAAGAGCCACCGCCATTCACTTGCACTCAGAGGCCTTTGAACTTCAGTACTTTTCCATCCATATGATGACATTTCTTTCTCAAATGCTGCTTAGTTCATGACCTTAAAACCTAAGATATCCATGGTCTATAAAAACACCAGCACAATCATTGTGGAAAATCGTGTGAGAACGCTGATACGAAGGAGCACACAGAGGAGATTTACTGTGAAGAAACATTTGCAGATCTTCTTGGATCAGGTCTGTGTCCTAATAACTAGTCCAACAAAAACTCTCAGGCAATTTCATTAGTTACAAAAGAAAGATCCCTTAAAAGTTTTCTGATCTCAGTCACTTTGAAACCAGGCACTCTGAGGACAGATTTTGTGTTCTTCCCTTTTGACTGATGGCGTCTCACCTGAATTAAGATTCTAAAAGCACATTTGAAACCTGAAATAAAGCTGATTGACTTGTTGATAATCGGTTCTGAGCCTGCTGGGTTAGTTCAGGAGAAAGGGTTTGGCACCCTGGTTTTCTGCCACTTAATAAGAGCAAAGATAACAGCCCCGGTGTAAAACCACCAGTAAAATACAGGCACTTGTTTTATAGATAGAGTCAGGAAAAAAACTCCATCTTGAAATTTACTGCAGTGCTTCAGCCATGAGAAGCGTTACAGAATTATATAGGACCCAAATCCAGACAGATTCTAAAGGAAAACAGAACTGGTGGCATGTGGGACTACTCTGGCTCCTTTTTCCAAATTGCCTTACACCGTATCATTCCTGAGGGACAACTTAAAAATGGGGGGGAGGTAATATTAATTATCTGGTGACTTCATGAGTCCTGGAGCAGTTTCCTTTGGTATTGAAAGGAGAATAAACTACATTTGGGTTAGTGCTGGCAGCTGAGGATAGACATCTCCAGAGGCTGAATTTTCCAGCACCAAACCAAGGGTTCTCTTACAAGTTCTGTTTCACAGCAGATAATAACTGGAAGCTATTTGCTAGGGATCAAGGATTCTGCTCCCCCCACCCCCAAACTGCTGCGGGGGAGGTAGCAGCATGGAGGTGTGAGGAAATCTTTCTCCAGCTTGCTCCAACAGCAGGTGGTCATTTTTGTGGGGACCCTGGAGTTAGGAGATCCTGGAGCTAAGTACAAACTGTTGCTTTGAGACTGACGCTCCATCTCCTGGCTCCAGCAAACCAAGGAAACGCTGAGAGCTGTTCCCCAGGAGAAGTGGAGTCCAGAGGGAGTCCTTGGAGGATTTTTTCTTTCTTTCTTTCTGCCTCTGTGGCTACCCAGAGGTGTTTACAACGTGGACAGAGCAAGATACCAAGCAAAAAAATCCCATAGTGTAAAGAAGGGATCGCCTCAAGGCAGAAAAAGAGACTCCTCGGGTTAGCGTGTGTGTGTGTGTGTGTGTGTGTGTGTGTGCAGGACGTGCGATCCAAGCGCGCTGAAATGCAGCTCTCATCCTTGCCTGCAGAGCTGCTCCCCTTCCCTCCCTGCCCCGCAGTCTCCGGGAGCGCCAGGGGGAGTCCTCGCTGGCCAGGGCTTCCCGTGCGGCGGGAGCGCGGAGGGCTCGCCTGGCGGAGCTTAGCGCAGCTTGCTCGGCGCTGAGCGGGCGGGGTGGACACTGGGCTTCTGTGTGCCAG